TTTTTTGCGGTACGCGGGCCTCTCACTGCTGTGGCCTCTCCCGCTGCGGCGCACAGGTTCCGGACGCGCAGGCTCAGCAGCCATGGCTCATGGGCCCAGCCGCTCCGCGGCATGTGGGATCTTCTCGGACCGGGTCACGAACCCGTGTCCCCTGCATCGGCAGGCAGACTCTCAACCACTGCGCCACCAGGGAAGCCCTGTGAGCAACTTTTTAATACCCATTTTATTCAAATAACAAAAAACTAGAAAACAAAGCAAATTTTCACAATAGGTGAAACTGGTAAATCCATACGATGTAATACTACTACTAAGTAACAAAAAGGAGCACACTACTGATACATACAACATGGATGAAACTTAAATGCATTTTGCTAAGTGAAGGAAGCCAGACTCAGAAGACTACATATTGTATGATTACATTTATATAACATTCTGGGAAAGGCAAGACTATAGAGACAGAAAACAGATCAGTGACTGCCAGGGGTTGGAGATGAAAGGAAAGGCATGAGTTCAAAGGAAAGTGGAAATAACTGGGGGTTATGGAACTATTCTATATCTTGACTGTGGTGGTCATTACAAAACATGTTTGTTAAAACTCATTAAACTGTACACACGAAAAAGGGTGAACTTTACTGTATATAAATTATACTTTAATTAACCTGATATTTCAAAAAACTATAAAAACAAACAAAAATATTGTGCAAGGTTCTAAAAAGTACACAACTTAATCAAGATTCCATTGCAGAGTTTCCTATACTTGCTGTCTCCAATTTCTTTCTTCCTCTTAATAGATTTTGTGTAGTAAGGTATAAGATACATAGAGAAAAGTGCACAAATCACAAGTATGCCCAAATCAAAAAATGGAACATTACCAGCCTCCCAGAAGTCCCTCTCCTCAAATCACTATTTGCTCCTTCTCAGAGACAACCAATCAGCCTTCTGAGTTCTAACAACATATATTTAGTTTTGGCTGTTTTTAAACTTTATACAAATAAAATCACACCGTTTACACTATATCTGGCTTCTTCTGTTCATCATTATGTTTGTGAGATTCATACACATTGTTGGTGTGGAGAGAATGTGCTCATTTTCAGTGCTGCACAGTATTTCACTGTGGGATTATACCATATTTTGTTGTACATTCTTTTTTTTAAAAAAAATTATTAATTAATTTATTTTTGGCTGCATTGGGTCTTAGTTGCAGCACGCAGGCTTCTCTCTAGTTGTGGCCAGAGCATGTGGGCTCTGTAGTAGCATCACGCAGGCTCTCTAGTTGTGGCACACAGGCTCAGTAGTTGTGGAGCACGGGCTTAGTTACCCCACAGGTGGGATCCTAGTTCCCCGACCAGGGATTGAACCTGTGTCCCCTGCACTGGAAGGCAGATTCTTAACCACTGGACCACCAGGGAAGTCCCTTGTTATACATTCTAACATTGATGGACATTTGGGTTGATTCTGCTTTGGGGATATTATGAATATCACAGGTAAGAGCAGAAATAGATATGTTGGGTATATACCTAGGAGTGGAACTGCTGGATTATACAACTGCTAGATCAACTGCAGGTATACAAATTTTCAGCTTCATAGATAACTACCCAGCCAGTTCTCCAAAGAGGTTGTACCAATTTGCATTACCTGGTTGCTAACCTTGCCTACACATTACCAAGACTCTACTCCAATGTCTAGTCAACATCACAAAATGTAATACGTCCAAAACTGAATTCCTGATCTCACCCAACAACCATCATGAACGTTGTTCCAACTACAGGCTTCCCATTTCAGTCAATGACAACTTCATCCTTTCAGCTGCTCAAACCAAAATAAGTCCCCCTTGACTTCTCTTCTTTACCCACCTTTAATCTGTCAGAAAATCATTTATTCTATCTATATCCAGATTATCACAATTTTTCACCACCTCCCCTGCTACTAAGCTGATCCAAGCCACCATCATCTATCATCTGAATTACTGCAATAACCACCAAACTGGTCTCCCTGCTTCCATATTTACATCCCTGCAGTTATTCTCCACAGAGCGGCCCAAGTAATCCTTTGGAAACATGTCATATCATATCACTTCTCTACTAAAGACCTGCAATGGCTCCCTACTTCACTCCAAGTAAAAGTTAGAATCTTTACAGTGGTTTACAAGACCCTTCATTTCCTGTCCCCTTTAACTTTCTAACCTCCTTCCCCCATCAGCACCACCTGGCTCCAGCCACGTAGGTCTCACTGCTGTTCTTTGAACCGATAAGGTCCTCCCTGACTTTGAAGACTTTGCTTTAGCTTTTCTCCCCACCTGGAAGGCTCCTTCTTAGACATCAACTTGCTAAACTCCCTCACGTTTTCAAGTTTGCTCAAGTGTCATCCTCCCAATGAGACTTATCACGAATTATCCTATTTAATACTGTACCCACGTAGCCTCTACATTTCCTTGCCCCATTCTCCTTTTTACTTCTTCCCATTCCATTCGTCATGTTTTAATATACTATATAACTTATTTTTTCATTTTGCTTATCGCCTTTCTCACAAGTCCCCAACCAATGTAAACTCTAGGATCTTTGTTTTATTCCCTGATGTACACTGAGCATGTAGCAGACACTGAAATATTCCTTGTATAAATAAATGAATGACCTTTTTATCAGCAGAACAAAATAATCCTTAATACTATTGCAGCACACAGATATCTTTCTACAAGTCCTCATAATGTGGAATTTTAAAAATTCCCAGCCTTTACAAACAATTAAGTGATGACAACCCAGACAGTCAACTAAGAGAGGGTAGAGACTGAAACACCTCTTTATGGGAAAGCAGAAGAAATTTCTGAGAGACAATATGAAACTTCTGGCCCGACAGTCACACCAATAGTAGGGTTGGGGCTTCCCTGGTGGCGCAGTGGTTGAGAGTCCGCCTGCCCATGCAGGGGACACGGGCTCGTGCCCCGGTCCGGGAAGATCCCACATGCCGCGGAGCGGCTGGGCCGGTGAGCCATGGCCGCTGAGCCTACGCGTCCGGAGCCTGTGCTCCGCAACAGGAGAGGCCACAACAGTGAGAGGCCCGCAAAAAAAAAAAAATAGTAGGTTTGTACCAGCTACCTGTCAAGTACCTGTGGTAGTTTTCTAGAATCACCGGAACCAGCTTTGGTTGTAGACAGTTTTGCACAATTTCCCAGTCATCCTTAAAAAGCTTACCTCCCATGTTTATTTTCTTTTAAGCAAACAGCAAAATCCAATTCTATTCTCGGTCATGCACACTCTTTATAAAAGAAAGGAGTGCCCAGCATGTTGCACTGAAACCCTGACGTCCTTTAAGGGACTCCCCTCTTTTTCCTGCCATCCAACCCTGAAGAACTGGTGCCTGGTTCAGCCCTTCCACGGTTCCAGCCGCTCCTCGACAGTTCGAGACCCTTCCTCCCCAGGATCCTGCTGTCATTAGTCAAGGGATTCTTAGAGGTTACAGCGGGTCCGGGCAAACACCTGGCAGGGCATTGAAGGAGCCAGAGTCCAAGAATGTCATCGCGGCCGCATACACCCGACCTGTCCCGGATCCCGCCCCGGCCACTCAGTGCGCGGCCAGGTCCTCCCGCCGAAACCCACCTCCGGCCAGGAAGGAGCGCAGCCAGTAGAAATCTCTGCGGGCAGCGGGCCCTCCGGTTCCTGCCGCCTGCGGCATCGCGGGAGGTGGCTCGGCTGCTGCCAGGGCCGCCGCCGCCGCCGCCATCAGGACCAGGGCCGCGTCGGGAGCTTTGGTCGCCAATTTATAACCCAAGCGTCCTAGCCATGGCCAGAGCAAGCAGTGACAGGGAACCGACCGCCGCACGGCGGGACGGAACACCACGGGCGGCGCGGCGCTGGCTGATGGCGTAGGCCTGGGGCGGGGCCTGGGTCAAGGCCCGAAGCGGGAGTCGCCGGGGCTGGACACATTCCCCCTCTCCCCAGCCTCTACCCACATCTCTACTTCTGGCCTTGCTGTGCAGGCGTCTTCTGTTACAGGCGGAAGAAGGGAAGAATGGCCAGCGAGAAGGTCCTTCCAAAACCCACCACCTCAGAAAGCACTCCCCCGCCCATCAAGCCATATTGAGCATTGATCGACATGTAACCGCCCATCGGGCTGCCTTCTGACCTTCCCAAAATGAACCCTTTCCAGAAGCAACCTTTGGTTCCTCACT